GGGGACAACCCCAGGCTGTGCTGGCAGCTGCCTGCAGGGACCTGTTCCTGGCAGAGGGGCGCGTCCGGGCCAGCCCAGGCAGCGCTGGGGAGCCCAGGCTCCATGGCACCCCTCTGGGCAGGGGGCCAGGGTGCTGGGAGAGGGAAATATCCCCCCTTAATGCTCATGGGAACAAACTGGGGGGAAGCGAGTCCCTCACAGGGTGGTCTGCACCCCCCTGCACTCCAGAAAACCCAGGGAGTGCCCCGGCACTGCTGGGGAGCAGGAATGTGTGCGGGTGTGGGGCGGGGAAGGTTCAGCACGATATGTGCCAGGGTGGTGTACGTGTGGGTGCCCCGGGGGTCCCGGTGCGCAGCCCCCAGCCCCTCCTCCCTCCAACCAGCCTTACTTTGTACTTGCAGTGCGAGAGCCCGTAGTCCCCGATCTTGACGGTGAGGTCGGCGGTGAGGAGGCAGTTCCGCAGAGCCAGGTCGCTGCCAAGCAAACCGGGAGCTGTCACCGCTGCCGGGGGGCCGGGGGGCACCCACCACCACCGAGGGGTCGGGGGACACCCACCAGGGACCCCGCGGGGGCAGCGGGATGGGCGAGCGGCGGCGGGGCCCCGTCCCCCCGTCCCTGCGCCCAGCGCCGGGCGTGCCGATAACGCGGCAGCCAGTGCACAGCAGGAATGCCTGCGCAGCCCCAGCTGCGCCGCTGTCCGTCCGTCCATCCGTCACGCGCCGAGCCAAGCAGAAAGCGGGTGTTCCCGGGCAACGTGAGCCCTGGCACGGGGCCGGGCTCCGGGGCGGCTGCTCCAGCCCCAGGGCGGGTCACGCACACGGGGTACACGCGAGACCCCCACTGCACCAGGGCCCACCAAAGCTGGGCTGCACATAGGGGAGTCCCTCTCCATCAGCACAGCTGGGGACCCCATATCCCCCCACCACAGCTCGGGCACCCTTGTGGGGACCCACCTGCAGAGCCGGGCTCAGGTGGGGACACTCCGGTGGCCCCTGATGGCAGTGCATCCCCTCCTCAACAAAATCACTGATGCTGGAGTCTCCGTCTGCAACTCACTCAGCACCAGGATATTGTTGGGCAGGAGGAGCAGTGGTGGGGCAGGAACGCTGGCATCCTGGGAACCGCCCCCATCCAGACCCCGAATTTCCCCCTGCCCCCCCTGAGCCCCAGGCCAGCCTACCTGTGGATGTAGTTGTTCCTGTGCAGGTGCAGGACGCCGCAGGCCACCTCACATGCCATCCTCTGCAGGGTCAGCAGGTCCGGGGTCATGGCCTCAGCCCCCCGGCAGCTCCGCAGGTACCCCTTCAGGTCACCCTGTGGGCAGTGCCACTGTCACCCTCCACGGCGCTCGGCTGCGGGGGCTCGGCCATGCCCGGCACCCACGGGGGCACTGCGGGGAGCGGGAGGGGCACAAGGGGCACACGGACTCACCAGCGGGCAGAACTCCATCACCAGCAGGTACGGCGTGACCTCGGCACACTGGGCCAGGCACTGCAGCAGGTTGGTGTGCTGGAGGGCTCTGTGTGGGCAGAGCAACGGAGGCACATGGGCACGGTGCCAGGGGGGTGGGGGGCTGCTCCCAGCACCCCATTGCCCTGGCTATGCTTGGGGTGACAGTGGCAACTCCTCAGGAACCACTGCCTGTGTGTGCTGGGGCTGGATGAGGGGACAGTGGGAGCCCCCCTGGAACCGTCACCCTGCCTGTACCGGGATGGGCGGGGGCTGCCGGGAGCGCCGGAGCGGGTACCAGCACGTCCCAGCGCCCCAGGCACACCACAAAGGGACATTTGTTCAGCTGTGCCCAAGCAGGAGCAGCCCCGTGCCCCGCCTCGGCCCCGCTCTGCCCATGACCTTCACCGCTCCCCTCGCCATGGACTGCACGTGGCTCCACACAGCCCCCCGTCCTGGCCGCAGGTGAGCGCCGGGGCAGACGGGCTGCATGACTGAGCTGCTGGAGAGCTCAGCTGGCACCTCCATGGGACAGCCACGGCTCTGCCTGGCAGCCAAAGGTGCCATGGAAGGGACCTGCCACCATCCCACAGCATCCCCGCTCTCGGCACTGCAGAGCGACCCCAGAGGTACCTGTAGGGCTGCGCTTCCTCCAGGAACTGCATCTGGTCCTGCACGCTGGCACTCGCCTTCAGCTCCTTCACCACCACTTGGGTGCTGCTGATGCCCGAGTTCACTTCCCCCAGGAACACCTGGGGCGAGGGACAGGCTCGTCCCTCCATCCACACCCCGAACCCGCCTGGCACAGCCGGGGCCCCGGGTCCCACCAGGGTGGGGTGTCGGGGGCTCCTTGCCCCTGGGCTCACCTTGCCAAACCAGCCATGCCCGATCTCCTTCAGGTACAGGAGGCTCTGCCGCCCCAGGTCTGCCGACTTGAGGAGCTGCACTGTAACAGAGCACATCCAGCTGCCCATGTGTCCCCCGACCATGTGCCCCCCCTGCCAGTGTCCCTCTGCCCCCCTGCCCACATTCCCCTGTAGTCCCGGCCAAGCCCTGACATCCCCACCGTGTCACCCGGTGCCAGGGCGTCTGCCATGCCGGGATGCTCCGGAGGATCCATCCCCAGGCACCCTGCATCCCAGGCATCTCCCTCTCCAGGCATCCTCCCACGGCGGTGAGACGTGGGGTACCGGTGTCCCCGAACCGAGTGGCGGCAGAGCTGGATCCCTGTCCCTTCTCCTCTGCAGGGCAGGCGGAGCCGAGCCCAGTGCAGGGCTGGCATTTAGCCCCTTCCCAGCCCCCCCGGCACAGTCCTGCCCCTCGGGTGCCCGTGCCAAGGGCAGACAGCAATGGGACCATTGTTGGCCCTCGCTGGCCACCCCCCCACGGCCATTCTTTGGGCGGGGAACAGCGCAGGGCAGGAGGGGGCACAGCCAAGCGCCCCCCACATTCCTCTCCCACTCATGGGCTTGTTTACACGGGACCAGAGCTTGTGGGTGCCACCATTTGGGGTGTCCATGTCCTGTTCCACCCTGGCAGGGTGGGACACGCACAGGGTTGGGGACAAGGACAAGGGACCTTCGCACAGGGGAATCCTTGCAACGCTCCCCAGGGAACTTGGCTGCCTGTCCCCTGCTCAGGGCTCTGCTGGAGCCGTCCATCCTCAGCAGGGGAGACCCCCCATTCCCAGCTCCCCCTGCTGCTCAGTGCTGCAGGACACCCCAGCCATGGCTCTCAGGGGTCCTGCCCCCTCCCCAGCTTACCTGAGCGCCCTGGCTGCTTGGCCATGGGCAGGGACACCTTGGTGAGGGGCAGCACATAGACCTCGGGGCCATGCTGGGGGGCAGGCGAGCCCTGGGCCGACAGCTCCGTCACGTAGTCGTCCCCCTCGGCGTTCTCAAACTCCTGCTCCAGGGGCATGAGGGGAGGGGGACACACCGAGCAGAGATAACTGACCCCAAGGGTTCCCCACTGCCAGCAGTGCCCCACAGACCCCTCTGCCCCAACGGGCTCACCCACACCCCCAGGCACGGGGACCCCCAAATCCCACCCTCCCGGCACACAACCCTACCCCCTCCACGGGGACGGCACCACCCACCCCACTACCTGGCGTTCCCACCCGCACACCCGGTCCTGAAAGCCGCGCGCGGTTCGGGCGAGAGGTAGTGTGACGTGAGCATCTCGCCCGCCCAGCTCTGCCTCATGGCACCGCCAACGCCGCCGCACCAACGCCGATGTCGCCACAGTGTGCTGCCGTGTGCCATGCGCTGTGTCCGCCGACACCGGCCCGGCCGCGCACCCCTTTATACCCAGCGCGGGGGCCGCGGGGGTCACTGTCCCCCCCGGCACGGAGAGGTGCTCCGGCGGTGTGGGACGTTACACAGCACCCAGCGTGTCCCCCCCAGCCTGACCCCTCCCGCCGCGGGCGCCTGAAGCCTCCACAAAAATCCCAGCAATTAGGGAAAAAGCGTTTTCTCGGCACATTCTGTGCCTGTGAGGTCAGGGTGCCTCCCACCCTCGGGGGCGTGCGGGTGGGACCGCCGGGCCCTTAACCATGGCGTGGCCTGGCCCTGCACAGAGCCGGGAGCACAGCTGGGTCAGGATATGACCCCCAGCGATCCTGAGCCCCACAGCATCCACGCTCTGTGGAGCTGGGAGCCCGGACGGGTCAAGCTACAACCCCCAGTGATGTTGAAACCCACAGATCCAGGCTGTGCAGAGCAGGGAGCCCAGATGGGTCAGAATATGACCCCGAGTGATGCTGAACCTCACATATCCATGCTCTGTGGACCTGGGATCCTGGATGAGTCAGGATACGACCCCCAGTGATGCTGAGTCCCACAGGCCGTGGCAGGCACTGAGGGTTCAAACCCCCTCTTTGAGCACTGCTCTCCTAAACCAGGACACACCCAGCCCTGGTGCTGGGGCAGGGGATCCTGCACTGGGAACCTCTGAACACCTCCATCCCTTCCTGGGGTCCCTGGTGAGATCCCCCCTCTTAGCCTGGGGACCCCCCAGTGCTCCCAGCTCACCTTGAAGCCGATGTCCCCCTTCTTGCAGCACAGACAGGCCAACATGAGGAAGATGAAGGTGAAGAGCCCCGAGAAGGAAACAGCCACGACAGCCAGCGAGGAGGACCAGGAGAGCTCACTAAGGGGGGTGCCGTCTGTGGGGACACGAGGGGGTCAAGGCAGGGGGCTGGGGCAGGGAGAGGGGTCCTGCCCGGGTGGGGGTCATGGGATGTGGGGGCTCATCAGGGCTCACAGGGGAGCACTCGGGGGGGACAGGGGGCTCAGTGCCACTGTGCTCCCTTTGAGGACAGGAGGAGTCGGGAGCCAAGGGGGGACATGCATGGGGGAGACAGGGACACAGCTCCTGTGGATGCAGGGTGGCAATGACACCCTGTGGGGAGGGACTGTGCTGGCTCGGAGGTCCCAGGCACCCTCACCCAGCCAAGCCCCAGCCCTTGGATTTGCCCTCCAGTGGGTTTGGCCCCAGCACAAGTCACATCCCAAAGCTGGCCAGACACTGCAGCTGTGGGAGCTGGAAGGACAGGAATTTGGTTCCATGAGCCCCCACACCAGGCACAGGGATGGGACAGGGCTGCTCAGCTGGGCACTGCATCCTCTGGCCACCAGCACGCCCCAAATCCCAGCACCCACCACCCTACTGCAGCCGGTGCCGTGTCGCTCGGGGTGGCAGGGGGCACGGTGGCCGTGGTGGCAGCGGTGGTGGCCATGTCCCAGCTGCCGTCCCCAGCAGGCCCCGCTGCCAGCTGCAGCTGCCACATTACTATTCCACCCAGAGCCTGCCCGAACAACCGGCACCGTTGTGGTGGGAGGCAGCCGGAAGGTCGCGGTGCTGCCAACAGAGCTGGTCATCAGGGACCCCCCACAGCCCTGCAGCGCCCAGCACAGTGCCCTCCTGCGGGACAACAGGGCTGGGACAGGTGCCCCTCTGCTCAGCTGTGCCCCCGGCACAGACCCCCACCAGCACTGCAGCCCCTCCCCAGGTCACCGAGTCTGTGCCGAGCCCTTCGGGGACACTCATGGCACACATGTGGCTCCAGCACATGGACCACAGAGCATCCCTGTCCCTGTGCCCTGACCACATTGTCCTATGCCAGGACTGCCACCAACTCCCATGTGTCCTTGAGACCAGCACCTGAAGGGCACTGGGGGTCTGGGGAAGGTCCCACTGCCCTGGGGGGCACTGGCAGTTCCTGGCTGCTCCCCAGCACCGCACGGCACAGCCACGGGCACCCCAGCTCCCAGCCAGGCAGTGAGCAGGCACATGGCCCCGTGGGCCATGGCACAGCCCAGCCATGCCAAGGAGTGTGAAAGGAGCTCCAGAGCCATCTTCTGAGGCTCGGGATGCAAAGCCGAACCTGGGAGGAGCGGGGGGCGGCGTGCCCCCCCTTGCTGCTGGTTTCCATGGTGAACACACTTTGTACCGCCAACGTCACCATTTTCCCTGGATAGTGGGACAGCAAAAGAGAAAATGACTCACTGAAGAGAGCCTTTGAACGGCGACAGGGAGCAGAGCACAGGGACAGGAGCCCCTCCGAGGGGACCGTCAGCTGAGCCACCCCTCGGCTCGGGAACTGGAGCTTCCCAAATGAGCCA